TGAAATCCTGGTGATACCAACGATTGCCGCAGAAATCTAGAGAGGAATACGTCATCGCCTATAGCAACGTCATCACAGTTGCCTTGGTATTAGTATGTAAGAAATTGAGATACACTATTTATTTAAAATTATATCTTGAGACTAATGCCATAAAATTGGTAATGAGTTTGATGCTAATCTTTTTGAATAAAACGTAGCAACATTTAAGCTCGCTTTGAAACATTCTAGCGTCAGCTGGGATGTATCTTCCTAACATTGTTTTCGTATCCAACCGAATGCATTGTTATTTGAATACGATGTTTATTTAAATTTAGAAATGTGACGTTTTTGCCGTGTATAAAAGATATGTAAGTAGCTCCCGTTGGCAAAACTTAGTTTGAACTGTTAACGATAATAATCATCGGATAAGTCCTTATATCATGGAAAATTAAATAAACGATTTTTCTTTGAATCGAATTACCTTTTTTTTTCGTCTTCAAATATAATTAACCGGATACATCCTATAAACAGCTCACTCAACCTGTAAAAATATTTTCTGATTATTGAATAAACTACAATTTAAGGGACTAAAGGTGTGCTGAATAATATGACATAATTCGGAGGCATTCGCACTCGCTTAAATATCTATTTATTGTTTTTCTGAGTAGTACCATATTGGGAAACGGCCTGCGCGCTGTAGATTTCCTTGTATCACATTGACATCACGGAGAAATACGGTAAAGATTTTAGCTAGATCCTATCCTTCCAAAATTTATTCCTTGACCTGGTCGTTTCCCGGTCACTAAATTCTACAATTTTGCTTATCAATGCGGCAAATAATCAACTACTCGTGTATACGACAATGGAATAATAGATTATATTCAAGTGCTACATACAACGCTTTTTACGTAAAAATATTTAAAAGAGTGAATGTATTAATCAGAGCTTATTCAACAGTAAGCAGACCCAAAAAATATATACATTCAGACTATAATATCACAAATTAACTACAGCTCTGTTAGGATAAGATAAAGATCGATATGTCAACAATTTCATTAGAGCATATACGTAATTTCAGTATCATCGCACATATCGGTATGTATAATTTTCAGAGATTCATGTGGGCTTAGTGATAAAATATTTATACGTTCTCACTGTCATATCAGATCATGGCAAGAGCACATTAGCAGACAGGTAACAAGAAATGTTGGCGCCATTTTCTTGTGATTGTAACTTGATACTTAACTGAGCGAAATTTTATCGTGGTCTAGATTATTGGAACTCACAGGTAATACTTTACAGCGTTCGAGGAATATGCTCAAATAAGCTCGCGATAACAAGCTTGTTCGCATCGCGCATCATTCAATCAGGCACAATATCACCAAATCATCTTCAGCAACAAGTATTAGACAAACTCAACGTAGAACGGGAAAGAGGAATTACTGTAAAAGCTCAGGCGAGTCAATAGTGTTTTTTTTTCTCGGTTGCTTAGACTATCTGCTTCTCGAACTGAACCTTTGATGATTATCGAATCTTGTTGTGACATAAGTCTTAATTAATTTCAATGTTCGTTTATTTCAGACATGTTCAATGTTCTACCAGTACAATGGCACCAAATATCTTTTGAATTTGATTGACACTCCGGTAAACCAGCGACCGTTTTTTTTTCTCCCAAGTCTCTTATTCAAATACTATCGAATTAACCTCCAATACCGTTTTTAACAAGGGCCATGTTGATTTCAGCTATGAAGTCTCCCGCTCGCTGGCTGCCTGCCAGGGAACTCTTCTTCTTGTAGACGCATCGCAAGGCATACAAGCCCAGACGGTGGCAAATTTTTTCCTAGCTTTTGAGCAAGGAATTACGGTTGTGCCTGTCATCAACAAAGTGAGTCTGAGTGATCAGGATCGACAAAATAGTTGGAAAAAGGATAAAAGACTGGAGAGGAGTAGTACAGGTGATGAGAGTCACAGGACGTGTTCGCTGCTGTGACGAGGATACCCACAGTCTATCATGTATCGAGTGGCTGACATTGACTAATGCTGACATTATTTTATTACAAGATCGATCTCCCTGCCGCACAACCAGATCGAGCGATACAACAAATAGAAAGTACTTTTGAATTGGATGGCAGTAACATTCTCAAGGTTTGGCGTTTGAACGTGTTCAACGTTTATTAGATATCAGACTAAAGCTTTTTTTGTATAAAGATATCGGCGAAAACGGGTCTGAACGTAGATCGAGTTCTACCAACTGTGATTGAAAATATTCCACCGTAAGTATAAAAGCGGCTATGCTCTTTCCTCTTTTTCGATCTACTTTCACGCATTGTTTTTTTGTTTTGTTGTTTTTTTGACTCCACATACATCATGTTCCGCAACATCAGGCCAGATGGCGATGTCAATAAACCACTTCGAGCACTGCTGTTTGATTCGTGGTATGATACTTACGTCGGGGTTGTCTGTTTAATGGCCGTAGTTGATGGAAAATTGCAAAAAGGTGAGAAAACAAAGCGAAGGTTGATCTTTAAAGGTTCAGTCAACTTGTTGATCATTGAAAATGAAAACGCGACTGAGTGTAGTTGGGATACTAATCGGGCGCTGTCTACTTTTTTTGTCTTAGGCGACAAGTTATTATCGGCTCATTCTCAAATACGCTATGATGTCACGGAAGTTGGAATTATGCATCCTGAGCAGACATCGACGGGTTATTTGTACGTACGCTCTACTAGGGGATAATGAGGCGAAAGCAATGAGATATTGCGAATTGATATTATTTCCAGTAATAACAAATATCTTTTTCGCATGAAGACACGCTGGACAAGTGGGCTATGTCATATGTGGCATGAAAGTAGCATCTGAAGCATATATTGGGGACACGTTTCATCATGTCAAAGCTCCCGTCCAGCCATTTCCTGGATTTGAGCCCGCGAAGCCAATGGTACGTGTTGTACGCGTTTATTCCTATGCCTTGCATTTTTTTTGTCTTAACATGTCTTCTTTCATTCAAACATCTGCAGGTATTTTCGGGTATATTTCCAATAGACACGAATGACTTTAATAAGCTTGACGAATCGATCACGAAACTTACCATTAACGATGCGAGTGTCTCTGTACAGAAAGAATCTAGGTTCGGTGAGGACGACAGTAATGATGGCAATAATGAATACCACAGAAAAGATATACTTGGTGATCGAGTTCGTACTAACGTTAATATAGTATGGCACTCGGACAGGGTTGGAGAATAGGCTTTCTGGGAACATTACATATGGATGTATTTAGACAAAGACTTGAAGAGGTATGAACAAGCGAGAAAGACAATGTAAAATAGGTGTAGAGTCTGAAATGGTGTTTACGATATTATACGAACTCGTTGCGGCCTGTGGTTAGGAATATGAAGCAAATGTAATAATAACTCAACCGACAGTTCCATACAAAGGCAAGTTTCAGTATTGATCTTCTACTAAACATTCACATGTTCGATTACTCACACTCACGTCTCCATCTTCAAAAAAAAACTTTTTTTTTCTTTCATAAATAACATTTCTTTTCTCTACTCTCGCTATTATATACAAACAGTAACCTATAACGACGGCACCGTTAAAACAATCCGGAATCCCGCCGATTTCCCTGATCCTCACGAAATATCAACATCGGTACTATCGGTCTCCGAACCAATGGTTCTCGGTACTATTATTCTGCCTGATCAATACATGGGTCCGGTAATGGATTTATGTGGAGTTAGGCGAGGTGAACAGTTAGAATACACTTATATCGACGAGACGAGGGTTATTGCCAAGTACATTCTGCCTCTCGGAGAAATTGTTAAGGATTTTCACGACGAATTAAAGGGAAGAAGTAGTGGATACGCGAGGTAGGACTCTTGATAGTTGAAATTTATTATCGGGTTTGAAATATGGCGTTTTTTTTTGAGTATGTTTATAGGAGATGGTTTAAACAAAATCTTTTTAATAGCTTTGACTATGAAGATATGGGTTACCGAGAAGCAGATATTGTCAAGGTGAACCTCCGCTTTTTACATACTCTTATAATTTACGCACTTATCCGTCAATAACGTTTGCCCACGACTATGACATTACACAGATGAATGTTTTAATAAACCACAAGCCAGTTGATGCCCTCGCCGCCATTCTCCATCGTAGTCAAGCAGAACTTGTTGGTAGGGACTGGGCAAGGAAACTTAGGGATATCATTCCAAAGTAAGCGTCGTATCAGACCCAGATTTTCTTGACGTTTAAACAACCGGTCGTTGATTAGATATTTTTTTTTAGGCAGCTATTTGAAGTTGCAATACAAACAGCTATTGGGAATAAAATTATCGCTAGAGAGACGTAAGTTGCAATGTAATTACAATCTTCTCATTTTGAACAATAACATAAAGACAAACATATTATTGCGTTTAGTATTTCTGCTTTAAGGAAGAACGTCACTGCTAAATGTGTAAGTAGTCCAATGCTTTCTTTGATTGTTTATGTCGCATTAACTGATATAATGGTGCGCGTGCCTCGTAAAGTATGGGGGAGATGTCACTAGGAAGATGAAATTGTTAAATAAACAGAAGGAAGGCAAAAAGAAGCTCAAAATGATTGGTAAATAATATTATGCTTAACAATAGATCTTGTGCTTTGACAATATTTATTTACATATTACGTGTCTTGTATAGGTAATGTTGAACTGCCTCAAAAGGCATTCTATGACTTCTTGTCAAAAGATAAAGGCAAATCTAAATAGAGCAAAGAACAAATATAAAGTAATTCTTGGACACACTGGTAGACGATTAAAGCTCGCGGTTTGTATAAAATCGCGTGGCACAAATTTGTCAAAGTTTATTAAAAACCATAATTTGAATATGGGGTAGACTGCAACAAAACCAGACAAAGTGAACTGTGACGTAGATGAGAGGCTGATTATATGGTTGTAAAATTGACCAGTGTGACTGATGACATTTTTGAAAAGTAATAATGGTGCCATTCATAGCTTATGGACTTGTTAATTTTAATGTTCACTTTATCATAGCAGAATGTGATAAATATAAACCATAACAGGATAAATATAGTAATAGGATTATCTCTATTACTATATATAAAAAATAATATGATATTAATTTACATTAAATCCACTATGTAACCAAAGAATTCACTGCACTATTAGAAGTATTTTAAAGAAAGCTCAAGGAGAGAAAATTGCTTCCTATGTTTTTAAAATCAAAGATACCCAAACACTCCATATCTAGATCAAGAAAAATTAGTTATGAAATTTATCAAAGAAAGGAAAATTATAACTAATAAACGATCTTAACAACAACTTATGATGAACCAGGAAAGAAACGAAGACTTGAAGAAACGTAAGGGAAATAAATTTAACGTAAAAGCTTCTCGCCTGATCGAACGACTTGTCAACAAGTTCGTTTTTATTGATAAAGACTGCTCGAGCGCATTCGTTGAGCGTTGATCATATTTCGCTACTTTGACACAATTGCAATCAAAAAGTCAAACATGTAAAAATAATTCAATTTTTGCAAGCATAAATTTTTCTATTTCGATTATTGAATGCGCGCTCTTGAAAATATAAATAATACTAAATGCATCAGAGTGATTGCATGGGAGGAAAATACTCGGACCCCAAAGCCACTTGTGAATATCTTTTTTTATGTTGCTACTATTAAACCATTATCACTATTGTCTTCATCCATCTGAGTGGTTTACATTTTCTTTTTCTTCATCGACCCAACGTTGGATTGCCTCGAATGATATTTTGTTAAATGAAAATTGAATCCGATTCGGTTCTTTATCGTACAGTCGTTTCAGATCATTCCACAGCGTTTGTGTTCTTTGTTGGTTTCGTTTTTGATAAGTTTCCGGAATACTTAAATATTCTCATGTTGTGGAGTTGACAATTCTGTGTTGGTTGTTAATTGCTCATTTAATTCAACGTTGCTCAGATGTTCATTCAGTAAAATAGAATTATGATAGCATGATAGAATATGACGTAAGCTAGTACATCAGCTTAAATAAAATAGTTATACGCTTTGGCTTCCAAAGTTCTCACCATTTCCGAATCCGCACAAATCACCTGGCTAGCAGTAGGAATTTCCCATGAGAAATCAGACGCGGTTTTCTTTTTTAGATATTTTCTAAAATGTTTAGCGTATGGGGCCTTGCTATGTGCAAGGTTGGTCTTTAACATTCGCAAGTTTTTCTCGATTTCGTTGGGATCCGTATCATTTTCACCGACAATTTCACCGACAGTTCATTTCGCCGACAATTAATTACCTAAAAAGAATAAATTTGAAATAATGTTGGTGAACATTTATCGGTGAAATGATTACCTCCCTGATTACTAACCTTCAAAGGAATTTCAAGTAATCTCAGATATTTTTCGGAGTTTGGCTCGTAAAACGTTTTCACGTTGTAATTGCCTGGTAAATTACTTGTCTCAGCTCCTCCTTCGAATACCATGCATCATCCTCTATTGCTTGAAAAGTGATTGAAAACGCGGTAATATGAGCTGGGGGGGGGGGGAGGTAAAAAATTGTAAATGTTTCATGTTTATTACTTAAGACTGGAGAAGTATGTAACCGGGGCTGTTATAGACCTGCAGGTTGTCAAGTCCACTGGATTTCTCCCAAAACGCGTACCTTGTAAAGAATGTGGTAAACTGACTTTTTCTAAATATGGCGCTTGTGATATCCATGCTAGAAAGCATCGAAAAAGGGAACAATACTACCGAAAAAAACTGGAGATGACGCAAAAATGGAGGCCCAGAGGGAGTGATACCAACGTGTCTAAGACTTGTCAAAGAAAATATATAGTAATATTCATTTTATCATGGGTATCCAACGTTATGCGTAAAAATTAGCTATAGCACCTAGTTTCTGAAAATTCAATGTAAGTTTTCTTAGCTTGTGAAAAACCGCTTGTTTATGATGTGGTACAATATGAATTTCACCGTTGCAGCAATTAATGCCTTATTTGGCAATAGCTAATGAGTGCCATCCCAATTTCCAAATTTGTTGGGGAAGGGCTGCGCTGGGTCAAACTTAAAGCAGTTAATTCAAGATCGAATAACAAATAAAAACAGTCAATCTCTTCAAACGGCTCACCATTTGATCATTATGTTCTGATTGAATGTTGCAAAAAAATCTTTCGTTGTGATCTTTGGAACAAGTGGTTTTTCGGCGCAGCCCCCAATTTTACACGTGACATTCTCAAATAAATTCCGTGCCGTCAAATTCTCTCCCGATCATCCCTCTCATGTCTAATAACTCAAACGCAATCCTGTCGTTTAGCGACAAGTGGACACAAACAGATCGTTTCAACGTAGCTTGTCTTTGTGCGTATACATTATACGAACTATGGTGGTCAAGAGGTTATTCTGATAAATTATTTAAGCAGCATTTTCTAAATGCAATATTTATTCACTTGGACATTCATGACATCAAAGGTGGAATAATTTAAGGGATTGTGCTGATGGATCTTGATCATTAGATATCTTCAATACTTACTTTATGCGCACAAAAATGATTGACTTTATTAATCCAAATTCGCAATAATCACCACTCTTCTTCCCGTCCTCTTGTAAATAGAGCAAACTTTAATTCAAAGAATACCATACGAGCACACGGATTCCAACTCACACGCAATACGGCATCTCGTTAATGACTTCAAATCGTCTTCGAATGATATCCGTGAACAGATTATCGTTGATCTATTACTAGTATCTTTGGGACTATCGCAGAAGTTGCTCAAACACGCAGAAAATTCCAAGTCTAGAATGCGCCAAGGATTAAAACAAGGCATAAAATCCACTACGAATACTGTTGCAAACTTTCTTAAATCAACAGATACACATTCTGCAAATCTAACTGAATCCACCGCAACAAATAGTTCTTCTGATGAATCCTCCATACTTTCTAGTTCCTCACGCTCGGACGACTCTGCGATATCTACCATCAATCCAGCTACGTATGATGCTCGCTCTCGAGCAGTCTTATTTCGTCTCGCAAGACACTTGGAACTTTCGTCGTCTTTGATTCCAAATCTTGAAAAGTCGATTGCACAACAATTATATTTTATGCAGCAAGAGGCATCAAAACCAGAATCAAGTGTCGGAAAAGAGACTAAAGAGACTGACATTCACAAGGATATGCATGCGAGTGCTTCAGAAAATTTAGAAAAACGGGAGAAAAAGATGAATAGATTGAAATGGTTTGCAACTGGTGCTGGAGTGGTAGTTGGAGCAACGGTTATTGGGCTGACCGGCGGATTGGGTAAGCATGAATTAAAACAAGCTTGGTGATCAGAGATAAAAAGGACGACGAGGGAGACAAAAGAAGAAGGTGAAATGAAAATACAGAAATAGAAACTCTGGATGCATTATTAGATATTCGCAGCGTTATATTATCCCCTAATCTTACATTCCTTCTTCTATATTTTAGCTGCTCCCCTGGTAGCGGCCGGAATAGGTGCCGTAACATCAGTCGCTGGTGTTAGCTTTGTCGCTACAGCATCTACGGTGGCTCTGATTACTTCACTGTTCGGAATCGCCGGTGGTGGCTTAGGCGGCTACAAAATGCACAAACGCATGGGATCACTCAAAGTTTTTGAATTCACTCAAATGACTCCTGACCCGTGTCTCCCTCAGATTCCATCTCTCACCGTGACGATTGCAATCACGGGATATTTACTCGAGTCAACAGATGAAATTACCAAGCCGTGGCTACCCTTTTTTTCCCGCATGCAGCGAGACGCCTTTGCCTTGACATTCGAGCCGGAGATATTACTGGATCTTGGTGTTGCGTTCCGGAGATTCATTGCGCAGCAGGCCGTTAAAGTTGTTGCGTCTCAGGCATTGCAATATACTGTGTTTGCGGCATTGACCACGGCATTGATGTTACCGGCGGGTTTGATGAAGGCTGGAGATTTAATCGATAACCCGTGGGCGTTGGGTGTGGATAGGGCAGGGAAGGCGGGTTTGGTGTTGGCTGATGTATTATGTGAGAGGGTCCAGGGAAAGCGGCCTGTCGTTTTGGTACGTGTGCAATCGTTTTTGTTTTCGAAGTCATACATCGGTCGGAATAATCTAGGGAAAAAACTTAACGTTTTTATGACGCTAGGTTGGTTATTCACTGGGTGCTTTGGTAATATGGAACTGTTTGTTGGAACTGTCCAGGCGACAAATGTATGGGCTTGTTGATAGCGGTATGTGTTCGTATGGACTATGTACACATTGCGCACTCGCTTGCGGTCATCATCTTCTTTTGACGATGCTCTCTCACCATTACCTACTCTATCTTTAAACAGTGGTCCTAATTGGTGCTCCAATACCATCAACGTCTGAACAATGGTCTCTTGCGTGTCCAACCGTCTCTCGACGGGTAATTAATGCGTATGCAACGAACGACGTAGTGCTTGCAGTAGTCTACAGAATGCATTCTCTCGATTTAAAAGTTGCTGGGTTAGAGGCAGTCGCACACGACAGCGTCGAGAATTATGACGTTACAAAACTTACGAAAGGACACCTTGATTATAAAGAACCAAATACGTTGAAAAATATTTTGGAGGAAGTCGGTATTGAATAATTGTGGCATTAGTGACGGCTCTGAAAAGATCCGTTCTCCTTATTTATTATTGTGTCGTAAATGATGTGACGGGCGTACCGTATCTCTAATAAAATGTAATTTTGAGCCTCATTTCAGCAAATTACTGCAATTACTGTATACCAGTAAATGATAATAAATGCTGCCAGCGTAGACAAATAGTACATTGTAATTTGAATCTCTTAAGGTTCAGACGAAAAGTGCTTCCACTAGAGACTGGCACATCTTCAGAAACTTGGAAGTTACTCGATCTCACTGCTGCCTGAATCCCTTCATCGTCATATTCTTACTCAGGGCTGGAGCCGCGAAGTTGGGACAGGTTTTATTTATCCTTAGGATCAAGAAGATCATAAGTATCATCGTCTATTAGTTCAGGTCATTTAGCCAAGACTTCTTTACAGTATTTAACTAGATTAGCAGTGTTGATTTTAGCTCCTTGACCATTAACCTTGTCCGCCAATTCTTTAATTTCACTGGTCTCGATTTTAAAATCAATATTTTGCGAATAAGCAATTCATTTTTTAGTTACATCATAAACACATTAGTTTTGACTCCTAAGGCCGCTTTAAGGTCCATTGGCAGAATTCTTTTTCGAAGGGAGCTGGACCATGCTTAATATAGTGAGTTGGTCTAACTCATTTGGATCCTACGGATTCTAAAGAATCTTTTATACCACTTAACTAGCCAATCTTTGCTCAGACTCGGCTAAGAGTCTGGATAGACAAATCAAATTTTACTTTGCGATCTTGACATACACACTTGCGTCCGGCACGTTTCATGCGTTGTCAAACTTGCATCGTTAGGGGCTACACTATCATTAAAAGAGTAGTGATAGATCTTCGACGGATTGATACCATCGATAAGCAGTGGGATGTTACAAAAAGTGCCAGACATTTTATTTAGTCGAAAGATTTCAAGAAAGTTTGGGATAACTTTTATCTACAGGATTCTCTCATTCTAGTCACAAAGCACACCTATTGCGTTCTAAATACTCTTTTCCAACGATGAAGAGTTGGGCAAGATAATTTTGCGCGAAGGTATAAAACAATGTTAGAAAACGCGAAACCAACTGAAATTGACAATGAAACTTAAATTGACCGAACGTAGTTACGCATTTTTATTCAGTATCATAAATTTTAAATAATGACTGCTATATTATATACTCAAATAGATTACCCTGGAAAAGAAGTTTAACACTAAACGTGCAACTCATGTTGACACATTTAATATATCTAATTGGAAGAGAAGTGAACCCCTTGAGTAAAAATCGTAAATCAGCAGTAAATAAACCGCGAGCTACAAGAGCGTATGTGTCACTAAATTATTAGATAATAAAATGATGTTAATATTGTAAATTGACTTTATTTGTATCAACATGTAACCCGTACCTGCAGCTGAATCCAAATCATAACTATTTCTCGGTTTAGGCAAATCTCCTGTATGTAAGAGTTTACTAGAGTATTTACTCTCCTTCTCGAGACGTGATAAAGGCTTTACATCAGTATGATAAACGGCATTCCACACGCTGCTACCAGACTTATTCTCTTCCGCATCTTTAATAATATTCCGAATATCCCTCCAAAGTATCCCTCCATCCTTTAGACGCTTATCAGGATCAGCATCCCAACACCGCTCGGCAAGTTTCTTGTATTCCTCTGGCGCAGAATCAGGCATCGAC